GACTATAGACTAGACTATAGACTAGACTATAGACTAGACTATAGACTAGACTATAGACTAGACTAGACTATAGACTAGACTATAGACTAGACTATAGACTAGACTATAGACTAGACTATAGACTAGACTATAGACGAGACTATAGACTAGACTATAGACTAGACTATAGACTAGACTATAGACTAGACTATAGACTAGACTATAGACTAGACTATAGACTAGACTATAGACTAGACTATAGACTAGACTATAGACTAGACTATAGACTAGACTATAGACTAGACTATAGACTAGACTATAGACTAGACTATAGACTAGACTATAGACTAGACTATAGACTAGACTATAGACTAGACTATAGATAGACTATAGACTATAGACTAGACTATAGACTAGACTATAGACTAGACTATAGACTAGACTATAGACTAGACTATAGACTAGACTATAGACTAGACTATAGACTAGACTATAGACTAGACTATAGACTAGACTATAGACTAGACTAGACTAGACTATAGACTAGACTATAGACTAGACTATAGACTAGACTATAGACTAGACTATAGACTAGACTATAGATAGACTATAGACTAGACTAGACTAGACTATAGACTAGACTATAGACTATACTATAGACTATACTATAGACTAGACTATAGACTAGACTATAGACTAGACTATAGACTAGACTATAGACTAGACTATAGACTAGACTATAGACTAGACTATAGACTAGACTATAGACTAGACTATAGACTAGACTATAGACTAGACTATAGACTAGACTATAGACTAGACTATAGACTAGACTATAGACTAGACTATAGACTAGACTATAGACTAGACTATAGACTAGACTATAGACTAGACTATAGACTAGACTATAGACTAGACTATAGACTAGACTATAGACTAGACTATAGACTAGACTATAGACTAGACTATAGACTAGACTATAGACTAGACTATAGACTAGACTATAGACTAGACTATAGACTAGACTATAGACTAGACTATAGACTAGACTATAGACTAGACTATAGACTAGACTATTGACTAGACTATGACTAGACTATAGACTAGACTATAGACTAGACTATAGACTAGACTATAGACTAGACTATAGACTAGACTATAGACTAGACTATAGACTAGACTATAGACTAGACTATAGACTAGACTATAGACTAGACTATAGACTAGACTATGGACTAGACTATAGACTAGACTATAGACTAGACTATAGACTAGACTATAGATTAGACTATAGATTAGACTATAGACTAGACTATTGACTAGACCATAGACTAGACTATAGACTAGACTATTGACTAGACCATAGACTAGACTATAGACTAGACTATAGACTAGACTATAGACGAGGACTATAGACTAGACTGTAGACGAGACTATAGACGAGACTATAGACGAGACTATAGACGAGACTATAGACGAGACTATAGACGAGACTATAGACTAGACTAGACTATAGACTAGACTATAGACTAGACTATAGACTAGACTATTGACTAGACTATAGACTAGACTATAGACTAGACTATAGACTAGACTATAGACTAGACTATAGACTAGACTATAGACTAGACTATAGACTAGACTATAGACTAGACTATAGACTAGACTATAGACTAGACTATAGACTAGACTATAGACTAGACTATGGACTAGACTATAGACTAGACTATAGACTAGACTATAGACTAGACTATAGATTAGACTATAGATTAGACTATAGACTAGACTATTGACTAGACCATAGACTAGACTATAGACTAGACTATTGACTAGACCATAGACTAGACTATAGACTAGACTATAGACTAGACTATAGACGAGACTATAGACTAGACTGTAGACGAGACTATAGACGAGACCATAGACGAGACTATAGACGAGACTATAGACGAGACTATAGACGAGACTATAGACTAGACTAGACTATAGACTAGACTATAGACTAGACTATAGACTAAACTATAGACTAAACTATAGACTAGACTATAGACTAAACTATAAACTAGACTATAGACTAGACTATAGACTAGACTGTAGACTAGACTGTAGACTAGACTATAGACTAGACTATAGACTAGACTGTAGACTAGACTGTAGACTAGACTATAGACTAGACTATAGACTAGACTGTAGACTAGACTGTAGACTAGACTATAGACTAGACTATAGACTAGACTATAGACTAAACTATAGACTAAACTATAGACTAGACTATAGACTAAACTATAAACTAGACTATAGACTAGACTATAGACTAGACTGTAGACTAGACTGTAGACTAGACTATAGACTAGACTATAGACTAGACTGTAGACTAGACTGTAGACTAGACTATAGACTAGACTATAGACTAGACTGTAGACTAGACTATAGATTAGACTATAGACTAGACTATTGACTAGACCATAGACTAGACTATAGACTAGACTATTGACTAGACCATAGACTAGACTATAGACTAGACTATAGACTAGACTATAGACGAGACTATAGACTAGACTGTAGACGAGACTATAGACGAGACTATAGACGAGACTATAGACGAGACTATAGACTAGACTAGACTATAGACTAGACTATAGACTAGACTATAGACTAAACTATAGACTAAACTATAGACTAGACTATAGACTAAACTATAAACTAGACTATAGACTAGACTATAGACTAGACTGTAGACTAGACTGTAGACTAGACTATAGACTAGACTATAGACTAGACTGTAGACTAGACTGTAGACTAGACTATAGACTAGACTATAGACTAGACTTAGACTAGACTGTAGACTAGACTATAGACTAGACTATAGACTAGACTATAGACTAGACTATAGACTAGACTATAGACTAGACTATAGACTAGACTATAGACTAGACTATAGACTAGACTATAGACTAGACTATAGACTAGACTATAGACTAGACTATAGACTAGACTATAGACTAGACTATAGACTAGACTATAGACTAGACTATAGACTAGACTATAGACTAGACTATAGACTAGACTATAGACTAGACTATAGACTAGACTATAGACTAGACTATAGACTAGACTATAGACTAGACTATAGATAGACTATAGACTAGACTATAGACTAGACTATAGACTAGACTATAGACTAGACTATAGACTAGACTATAGACTAGACTATAGACTAGACTATTGACTAGACTATAGACTAGACTATTGACTAGACTATTGACTAGACTATAGACTAGACTATTGACTAGACTATTGACTAGACTATAGACTAGACTATAGACTAGACTATGGACTAGACTATAGACTAGACTATAGACTAGACTATAGGACTAGACTATAGACTAGACTATAGACTAGACTATAGACTAGACTATGACTAGACTATTAGACTAGACTATAGACTAGACTATGACTAGACTAGACTAGACTATAGACTAGACTATAGACTAGACTATAGACTAGACTATATGACTAGACTATAGACTAGACTATAGACTAGACTATAGACTAGACTATAGACTAGACTATAGACTAGACTATAGACTAGACTATAGACTAGACTATAGACTAGACTATAGACTAGACTATAGACTAGACTATAGACTAGACTATAGACTAGACTATGACTAGATAGACTAGACTATAGACTAGACTATAGACTAGACTATAGATTAGACTATAGATTAGACTATAGACTAGACTATTGACTAGACCATAGACTAGACTATAGACTAGACTATTGACTAGACCATAGACTAGACTATAGACTAGACTATAGACTAGACTATAGACGAGACTATAGACTAGACTGTAGACGAGACTATAGACGAGACTATAGACGAGACTATAGACGAGACTATAGACGAGACTATAGACTAGACTAGACTATAGACTAGACTATAGACTAGACTATAGACTAAACTATAGACTAAACTATAGACTAGACTATAGACTAAACTATAAAATAGACTATAGACTAGACTATAGACTAGACTGTAGACTAGACTGTAGACTAGACTATAGACTAGACTATAGACTAGACTGTAGACTAGACTGTAGACTAGACTATAGACTAGACTATAGACTAGACTGTAGACTAGACTGTAGACTAGACTATAGACTAGACTATAGACTAGACTATAGACTAGACTATAGACTAGACTATAGACTAGACTATAGACTAGACTATAGACTAGACTATAGACTAGACTATAGACTAGACTATAGACTAGACTATAGACTAGACTATATACTAGACTATATACTATACTGTAGACTAGACTATAGACTAGACTTTTGACTAGACCATAGACTAGACTATAGACTAGACCATAGACTAGACCATAGACTAGACTATAGACTAGACTATGGACTAGACAAATGCCTCAACTATAGACTAGACTGTAGTCTGTATGGACTATAGCCTAGATTTTACTATCGGGAGCTCGTTTTATAGTCTAGACTACAGATGGAACTATAGTCTACAGTACTGTCTAGACTATAGTCTATAGTGTGAATTATAGTATGGACTATAACTGGACTATAGTCTAAACTATAAGCAGAATTATAAGTGGGAGGCTACGCTATAGTCTGAACTATAGTCTGGGATATTGATCTGACTATAGTGTGAACAGCTTCCTGGATTATAGTCCGAACTATTGTCAGCAGTTTATTCAGGGGCCAAATTACAGTATACGATATCGATCGAAATCTCAATAGGATATAAATGGAGATTTCGATCGATATCGTATGCCATAATTTGGGCCCAGTTTTATACTCTATTTTATAGTCTAGATTATGGTCCACCAAATGTAGGACTATATTCTAAACTAAAGTCTGGACTATAGTCTGGACTATTACTATTATTTGATCTATTCACTGAAAAAATCATTATAGTATATATAATTTATAATGATTTATAGAATTTTGCAAGCTCCATTTAATTTCAATATATTTTCTTTCTTTCACTTTTTTAGACAACAATTCTATATGGTGGCATATTAATTACGGGTCTTTTTGGTAACGTTTTAGTTTGTATTGTGATTTATAAACACTCAAATATGCATACGGCAACAAATTTTTATCTATTCAGTCTTGCTGTGTCAGATCTTATTTATTTAATATTTGGTAAGTAAAATAAATTGTTATCGTTATTACTACTATTATTATTTTTATTTTTACTATTATTATTATTATTTTTTGTTGCCGTCACTGTTGCTGTGGTATAGATTTGAATGCGTATCTTTTTTTTATTTGTAACTTTTTATCTTGATAACGTATTTCATTTTTAGTCAAATGTATTAAGTTTAATCTTTTTGTGTAGCGATTCCCAACATTTTAAACATGTTTTATGAGATACATACATACATTCTTCTTGATCTATTTGCAATGTTTTAAAATTAATCAAAGATTTTTAATTATATTTTTCTTTTTTGAAATTTTTACAATTTTAAATAAAACTAGCATACCCTAGGTGCTTCGCTACCCTAATTTAAATTAAATACATACAAAATTTTGTTTACTTTTATAGAAAATTAAAATTGATTAAAATTTTTTTAATGTTTCAGTTTTATACGTTCAATATCACGTGATTAAATTCGCATTCAGTAAGAAGCTTCTATTTTAAGTTTCATTCATTTAGCTTCCACATTATAGAAAATTTCGAAAGTACTATTTGAAAAAAGTACTATAAAATGCCTTTAATAGATTATCATTTAATCAAAAATTGTATGTTTCTTTGTTCAATAATATATACAATTTAAAAAATAATTATTTTAATGAATGAAAAAGTACCAAAAGTCCCTTTCAGTAGATTCTCATTCACTAATGTCCCTACATTTTAAATTTTATTTTCAATATCTATGTTCAATATCGTAAAAATATCAAAAAGTACCATCGGAAAAAGGAAAAAGTACAAAAATCTCTCTCAATAAATTCTCATTTAATAAGGACCGTGTGTTCCGGTTAACCATTATAAAGAATCTAAAAGGTACCATTTGAAGAATAGAAAAGTACCAAATAGTTCCCACTTACAGAATATTATTCAGTCAAGACCATGTACATATGTTAAAATTAATCTTCCTAGGATGAATATTTTAGAAAATTAAAAAAGTACAATTTATGAGATAAAAAGTACTAAAAAGTTCTCTCTTAAAAAATCTTATTCAATGAGGACCGTGTATGTTTAATAATCATGTGTTTTGAGTTCATATTAAAGAAAATACATTTGAAGGAGGAAAAAGTACCAAAAGTGGAATAAATTTTACCTAAGTGGAAAGTACTAATAAAAAGAGTACAATTTTTCCCTTTTCGCTTAGAAATATACTTTTTTCGAGAATTTAGTTTACAAAATGTTCCGTATTTAAATCTATATATCACAGATAAAACTCAAACGATTCAAATCTGCATTCATTTGTTCCAGAAAAGTAGTGCTTTCAAAAAGTACCAAACTATTTACTCGAATTTGGTCCTTAGTACTCAAATTCCAAAATAATATACCAACAGCTTATTTTGTGTGAGTAAATATACTACTTTTTCAAATTTTATAAAAATTTACTCAATGAATTTCCCGTTTTTCCCCTTTTTGGTACTTTTTTCCCCAGTGAAATAGCAAAAATGTTATTACAATAAATATTACGGAGTTAGTCCGTAATTTAATAGGAATAATTCAATAAACCGAAAAAGTTTTCTCAATGTGCTAAAAAAGGTACCAAAATCACATGTTTACCCCTTAAAAGTACGAATTTGAAAAAAGTACCAGACACCCATCTGCTCTTTTTAAGAGTAGATACATGTGCATTTAAAATTTTTCTTGTATCACTAATATTGTGTATGATAATTAAGAAAACCTGTTTTACCCGTTTTTTCCCCCTTTTTACCCGTAAATGTACAAATTTCTAAAAATCCCTCCTTAGTGGATCTACATAACCAAAAACACATCTACTGTTAAAATTTCATGATTCTAGGTTTAGCCGTTTAGGCTGTGCGATGATGAATCAGTCAGTCAGTAACGCTACTCTTTTATATATATAGATTTTGTTTCTTTTTTTCATTTATAAATCATAAAATTTGCACCCACATAATGTACATATTCAAAACAATATTCTTTGTTTTCTTCTATTTTCTTTTGTAATTTAAAATGGCGTTATGAGAAAAACATAAAAACCCATTTCAGTTTATACCTGAAGCCAAAATAGCAATATAAAATAAAATCATATAATTTCCGTAGATTTTCTTAAAAATCAAATTTAATTTCCTTTCTTTCATTATATTTCATTCCGAAGGGTTTAAAAGAAAAATCTCTTTAAAATAAAAGAAACACTATACAAGTCTTTCTTCTTCTCTGTGTGCCTTCTATCACATTTTTTTATCATTTGATACAGTTGAATTTCCAGGAAAAATATTATTCCTAAAAACCCCCAATAACAGGAAAAAAATAAAACAGTAAGATTGTAAAAAGTATCACTTGTTTTTTTTATTTTGCCACCCCTTTACCACAGCTGCTTAAAGCTATTGCTGTTTAAGTGCTAATATTTCAGCATATTTGTTTTTTTTAGTATAAAAAGGAAATTCTACACTTTTAAAATAAAATTTTTCTACACCATCATCATCATAAATATTTCCAGGGACTTGCATGTAAGGCTGACATATAAGAAAACAAATTCTTAGACATAGTAGAAAACAATATAGTATTATTATTGCAAAAACCAACACCAACAATGTATCAATAACAATAAAAGAAAATTTATTATGAAATTGAAAAAATAACGTATGTTGGAATGAAATTTATAAAAAAATGTGTTGCAATAAAAATATTTGTACAGTGTTTGCCGAACGAACGGTATTTGGCTATGAAGGAAAGTATATAAGTATGTATATGAGTTCCTCTAACTTTCACTGGACAATAAGGCGCCCATAACAGCCGACCGCTAATGAACCGGTTAGTTGCAAGAGCTCTTAATAGCCTAGGTTGTTCTATTGGGGCAAATATAATGATACCTGTATCAACCTCCGTCAACATTTATCTCGCAGCCCAGTTAGCCGAAATTAAAGACGTTATAAAAAACGTCAGCTTCTTTCAGGACTTTCGTTTTGCCGGCGTTAATTTTAAATCCCGTACATTTCATTTACGCTCTCGATCGCTGAGTCTGAGAGCAAAGAAACGTCATCAACATAAGCTAAATAATTCTGGTCTTGACAGTTGATTTTCCACCGAATTCCCTGGCTTTTGTTCGATATGAAGCTCTCAACATCTTACATTACCACCAGGAACATGTGGTATTTACCTTACAATTTAATACTCCATCCGGGACATGTTTCTTTGATGAATACCCAATTATGGTGTACTGCAATCCCGGCGTTGATCAAATGTCTGATCGGCCTTTCCTTGGAATGATTTGAATTTGATTGGGTCGAACCAGAGAACCACATATTCTGGTACTACGTGTGGCCAGTTGCCTGCAGGACTTTGTCCTGGCAGGTCAGTTGGTTGAGGTTTCTTTTGGGATCCACGTAGTGGTGTAAACAGAAATTCGCCGGAAAATAATTTGTCGGTTAAAAGACTGATGCACGGTAGAATCTTTAATTCGGGATAAGTTCGGTGCTGTTGCCGGAGTCAACAGATACCAGGAGTGACTGTGGGATTAGCGGTATACCTATACAAGTTAGTTAGTTAGTTAGTTAGTCAGTTAGTTAGTTAGTTAGTTAGTTAGTTAGTTAGGTAGTTAGGTAGTTAGTAGTTAGTTAGTTAGGTAGTTAGTTAGTTAGTTAGTTAGTTAGTTAGTTAGTAGTTAGTTAGTTAGTTAGTTAGTTAGTTAGTTAGTTAGTTAGTTAGTAGTTAGTTAGTTAGTTAGTTAGTTAGTTAGTTAGTAGTTAGTTAGTTAGTTAGTAGTTAGTAGTTAGTTAGTTAGTAGTTAGTTAGTTCGTTATTAGTTAGTTAGTAGTTAGTTAGTTAGTTCGTTAGTTAGTGTTAGTTAGGTAGTAGTTAGTTAGTTAGTTAGTTAGTGTAGTTAGTAGTTAGTTAGTTAGTTAGTTAGTTAGTAGTTAGTTAGTTAGTTAGTAGTTAGTTAGTTAGTTAGTTAGTAGTTAGTTAGTTAGTAGTTAGTTAGTTAGTTAGTTAGTTAGTTAGTTAGTTAGTTAGTTAGTTAGTTAGTTAGTTAGTAGTTAGTTAGTTAGTTAGTTAGTTAGTTAGTAGTTAGTTAGTTAGTTAGTTAGTTAGTTAGTTAGTTAGTAGTTAGTTAGTTAGTTAGTTAGTTTAGTTAGTTAGTTAGTTAGTTAGTTAGTAGTCGTAGTTAGTTAGTTAGTGTAGTTAGTTAGTAGTTAGTTAGTAGTTAGTTGTTAGTTAGTTAGTTAGTTAGTTAGTTAGTTAGTTAGTTAGTTAGTTAGTTAGTTAGTTAGTTAGTTAGTTAGTTAGTTAGTTAGTTAGTTAGTTAGTTAGTTAGTTAGTTAGTTAGTTAGTTAGTTAGTTAGTTAGTTAGTTAGTTAGTTAGTTAGTTAGTTAGTTAGTTAGTTAGTTAGTTAGTTAGTTAGTTAGTTAGTTAGTTAGTTAGTTAGTTAGTTAGTTAGTTAGTTAGTTAGTTAGTTAGTTAGTTAGTTAGTTAGTTAGTTAGTTAGTTAGTTAGTAGTTAGTTAGTTAGTTAGTTAGTTAGTAGTTAGTTAGTTAGTTAGTTAGTTAGTTAGTTAGTTAGTTAGTTAGTTAGTTAGTTAGTAGTTAGTTAGTTAGTTAGTTAGTTAGTTAGTTAGTTAGTTAGTTAGTTAGTTAGTTAGTTAGTTAGTTAGTTAGTTAGTTAGTTAGTTAGTTAGTTAGTTAGTTAGTCAGTTAGTTACTTAGTTAGTTAGTCGGTCAGTCAGTCAGTTTCCCAATGGGACAAATTTGGTACACCCTATCTATATACTGTATTCCTTAAAGGCCTAAAACCGCAAACATTTATACAACGGGCAAAAATATTTATGCAACAAGAAGGGTACACCCTATCTATATACTATATTCCTTAAAGGCCTAAAACCGCAAACATTTATACAACGGGCAAAAATATTTATTTATGCAACAAGAAAACCACAAATTGCCCAATATCCTTCGAAAGAGTATAGGTATCCGTTGCAATCTAGAGATATATCCCTTATTAGGTTATTCTATTATTCTGTTATTATTCTGTAGTGTAACTTATAAAGTGAATGTTTGTAGAGGTTTTGAGTGTCACTCTGAAGGTCTTAGGCTTGATTCCCACAAGAGACTCTGGTAACAAAAAGACTTGCAAAATGGCCCGATAGTGACTTAAGTAACCAAGAAAGTTGTTACTTTTGAATAGTAGCACAATAACTGATATATTTCAAAATAAATCAATATTTTCTTATTGAAGTGGAGTAGAAATAACATTTTAAATAAATATTTAAAAAAAATCCCCAAATAAGAGTTAGATCGATACAAACACCCCGAACTGCAAGTTACCACTTTTATAATATATCATGAATATTACAATTTTTATTTGAAAATGTTGGCATTTTTCATGTTTTCTTTATTTTCAATTTGGTTTTTTATTTAATATTCTTTTCTTTTGGAGTTGGGGAAAATGTATTTTAATGCCTTTGAATAGTAGCTATTGGGGCTTGTCTTTATTTCCTTTTTAGCTATTTTTTCCCCCTAAACAAAACATCAATACATATTTTTGGTTCCTTGTCTATAGTCTTCTGTTTATTTGTATATTTTATTTATATTATAACAAAAACAGACAACCCGATAGACAGACTTTTTGCATGAACAATAAAAGTAATCCTCAAAAAATTATATGAAAGAAGACATGTAAATTTTGTGTGAAATTTATAACTTAAAGAAAAATTATTTTTCTTTTTTTTAGTAAAGATATCGTAAATTATTTGTTATATTGAACAGCTTAAAAATCAATCAAATTCTATTATTTCGTAAAATAATAACACAAAATATGCTTTCTTAATGATTTATTTCTTTAGTGTGAAAAATTTGTGTTTTTTTCCAATAATTTTCTTTTTTATAAAACAAACTTTTTTTCTTCTTTTTTTTACAGGCCTGCCCATGGAAGTGCTTTTGTATTGGCATCAATATCCGTATTATTTTGGTCTGCCGTTTTGTAAAGCGAGAGCTTATATATCAGAAGCGTAAGTTATTTCATTTGAATAGAGAGTTGTGTGGTTGTAGTGGAGACAGTGGTCTTAAAGTTGGCTGAAGTCAATTATAATTTAAAAGTTTATGTTAAAAAATTTTTAATTTTTCTCAGCCCACTGTACCCATACAATTTGTTTAATATTTCCTTTTTTTATATTTTTTACCCTCATAAATTATAAACTCAAAAACATTTTTCTTCTTCTCTTTTTTTACTATTTCCTATTTGAAACCCTGACCAAACAAAAAACTCACAGATCAACGTACGTATCAGTTTTAACAATAGTGGCATTTTCGGCGGAACGTTATATAGCGGTTTGTCATCCATTATATTTGTATCTACAGACTGGTTTTAAAAGAGCCCTACTTATAATTGCCGTACTATGGCTATGGAGTTTTTTAGGAGCCATACCATTTTGCATATATACCGAAATTAATTACTTGAACTATCCCCCAGGTAAGTGTAAAAAAAAATATAGTAACCCAGTGATTGCATTCTATGCTACAATTCTATTAACAAGTTTTATTTCCCCTTTCCCCCAAAACATAAAGATAATTCAACAATTGTAGAGTCAGGATTTTGTGGTTTTGATACGCCTGAAAATATACCCATATTTGAGGTTTCATCTTTGGCCTTCTTTATTATACCCATGTTGGCTATAATTTATTTTTATTTTTCCATGGGTGTTAAAATATACACAAGAAGAACACAAAAATTGGGTGAGTTTCAAAAAAAAAATATATATATTTTTTTATTGTTTTATTTTAGCATGAAATCATAGACGACTGCATGTAACTGGCAATTGTTATAATTGAATTTTTTATTTTTCGCGCCTGCTCGTTTTTTTTTGTAACAGGTGTCCAGCAAGGTTCCATGCATAAAGAATCAAGGCATCTGAAGTCACGTAAAGCCGTCATTAGAATGTTGGGTAAGTTTTAGTTTTTCTTTGTTTTTAATTTAAAATATTGGGTGTAGGACTAAAGAACATGGGATTCATAGTAGATAAAGTATCTTCTGAAAACGAGTTTTTAGTAAATACACATATGTACGTAATGTATAAAAAGTTTTTTAACAGTTCCAAATTGGTGCCAACAAAGCGTCAATTCCATTCCAGTTGACAGTTGACTGTAGACTAGATTATATACTATAGAATATAGACTAGACTGTAGACTAGAAAAAAACGAGACTATAGAATAGACTATAGACTTGAATACACACTGGAATATAGACTGGAATTTAGGCAAGACTATAGACTAGACTAAAGAAGAGACTATAGACTAGTTATAGACTAGATTATAGACTAGACTATAGACTAGACTATAGACTAGACTATAGACTAGACTATAGACTAGACTATAGACTAGACTATAGACTAGACTATAGACTAGACTATAGACTAGACTATAGACTAGACTATAGACTAGACTATAGACTAGACTATAGACTAGACTATAGACTAGACTATAGACTAGACTATAGACTAGACTATAGACTAGATTATAGACTAGACTATAGACTAGACTATAGACTAGACTATAGACTAGACTATAGACTAGGACTATAGACTAGACTATAGACTAGACTATAGACTAGACTATAGACTAGACTATAGACTAGACTATAGACTAGACTATAGACTAGACTATAGACTAGACTATAGACTAGACTATAGACTAGACTATAGACTAGACTATAGACTAGACTATAGACTAGACTATAGACTAGACTATAGACTAGACTATAGACTAGACTATAGACTAGACTATAGACTAGACTATAGACTAGACTATAGACTAGACTATAGACTAGACTATAGACTAGACTATAGACTAGACTATAGACTAGACTATAGACTAGACTATAGACTAGACTATAGACTAGACTATAGACTAGACTATAGACTAGACTATAGACTAGACTATAGACTAGACTATAGACTACTATAGACTAGACTATAGACTAGACTATAGACTAGACTATAGACTAGACTATAGACTAGACTATAGACTAGACTATAGACTAGACTATAGAACTAGACTATAGACTAGACTATAGACTAGACTATAGACTAGACTATAGACTAGACTATAGACTAGACTATAGACTAGACTATTAGACTAGACTAACTATAGACTAGACTATAGACTAGACTATAGACTAGACTATAGACTAGACTATAGACTAGACTGATAGACTAGACTATAGACTAGACTATAGACTACACTATAGACTACACTATAGACTACACTATAGACTAGACTACAGACTACACTATAGACTAGACAATGGACCAGACTATAGACTAGAATATAGACTAGACTATAGACTATACTATAGACTAGACTATAGACTAGAGTAGACTATAGACTAGACTATAGACTAGACTAGACTATAGACTAGACTAGACTAGACTATAGACTAGACTATAGACTAGACTGTAGACTAGACTATAGACCAGACTATAGACTATACTATAGACTAGACTGTAGACTAGACTATAGACTAAACTATAGACTAGACTATAGAATAGACTAGACTATAGACTAGACTATAGAATAGACTAGACTATAGACTAGACTGTAGACTAGACTATAGACTAGACTATAGACTAGACTAGACTAGACTAGACTAGGCTAGACTATAGACTAGACTAGACTAGACTATAGACTAGACTATAGACTAGTCTATATACTAGAATATAGACTTGACTATAGACTAAATTATAGACTAGACTATAGACTAGACTATAGACTAGACTATAGACTAGACTATAGACTAGACTATAGACTAGACTATAGACTAGACTATAGACTACACTATAGACTAGACAATGGACCAGACTATAGACTAGAATATAGACTATAGACCAGACCATAGACGAGACTATGAACTAGACTATAGTATATTCTTTGGTCTATAGTATTCCAGTCTAATCTAGTCTTGTCTAATCTATAGTCTAGTATATAGTCTAGTCTATAGTATAGTTTATAGTCTAGTCTATAGTCTAGTCTATAGTCTAGTCTATAGTCTAGTCTATAGTCTAGTCTATAGTCTAGTCTATAGTCTAGTCTATAGTCTAGTCTAGTCTATAGTCTAGTCTATAGTCTAGTCTAGTCTATAGTCTAGTCTATAGTCTAGTCTATAGTCTAGTCTATAGTCTAGTCTATAGTCTAGTCTATAGTCTAGTCTATAGTCTAGTCTATAGTCCAGTCTATAGTTTAGTCTATAGTCTAGTCTATATTCTAGTCTATAGTCTAGTCTAGTCTAGTCTATAGTCTAGTCTATAGTCTAGTCTATGGTCTAGTCTATAGTCTAGTCTATAGCCTAGTCTATAGTCTAGTCTATAGCCTAGTCTATAGTCTAGTCTATAGTCTAGTCTATAGTCTAGTCTAGACTATAGTCTAGTCTATAGTCTAGTCTATAGTCTAGTCTGTAGTCTAGTCTATAGTCTAGTCTATAGTCTAGTCTATAGTCTAGTCTTTAGTCTAGTCTATAGTCTAGTCTATAGTATAGCCTAAAGTCTAGGCTATAGTCTTGTCTATAGTCTAGTTTAAGTAAGTGTAACTAAGAAAATATTTAAAGTGTAATTTAAGGAAATAAACTTAATTAAGATAAACTAGCCAAGCTTTAACAAACAACTTTTAAATAATTTAAAATGATTTGCTATAAATATAAAGCTAGTGATTTGATTCATTAATGAACTTGTTTTTCTAATTATTGCCTACTCCAAGGCGTTAACGTAATTAAAACCTTATTTAAAGTGATTCAGTAATAAATTTTATGTTGCTATAGATATTATAAGTTAAAGGCGTTTCCGCCATATAACTAAAATTGTAAACAAATTTCATAAATTGTCATTATTTATGGCATAATTAAAGGCGTTATTTACACATAACAAAGATTTCAAGGGAATTTTATACTGTAATTAAAGTATTTAACATTTTCTAAGAAAATTTACTTATTTAAAGAGATTTCTTGTTTTAGAAAAAAATATTTTGTTGACAATTGCTAAAACAAAATTTTATTACCAACAAGCCTATAACTTACTCTAAACATATTTCCCAACAAAATAATCTGCTCCAGCAAAATAGCCTGCTGAAGGGCTTGTCTAAAGGCGCTTATAATAAAATTGTCATTTGCCTTAAGACGTAACAAAATATCAACGTATTTTAAGAGTATTTTAAAGTAATTGTGTGCTTAAATTCTTATGAAAATGAGAACAGATATTTGTCTTGATAAAAATATGTATATTCTGTGAAATTTTCAACAATAATGGCCCTTTTTAAAAACATAATTTTCAACTTAAATTTAAACAAAACCATAATAACATTCATGACTTGAGCAAAATATTTGCGTATCGTTGTAACTTCTACGCTTTATGTCTAAGAATGACACTTAAAAGCATCACATGCCAACATTCCGTGGAAAGTCATGAAGTGTCACACAGCAATCGAAAACATGTGCCGCACTAATAACAAACAGTCGGTAGAAGAAAAAAACACATGAAAAACGAGGAAAAACACCATGGAAAATGTAAACGACAAATAAAAGTACCAGAAAACCCGGCAACCACAACAACACAGCAGCAACAACGACAACGTAATTGACAACAACAACCATTACACAACTAGCAGGAAGACAACCATCATCAACAAACCGATAAAATACAGGCAAAACAATATGCTCAAATTAACCCAAGCAAAACCAATAATCAATGGTTGATTTTCCAACAAAAAAAAATGCAAAAAAACAGCAAAACAAATTCAAAAAGGGTTTAAATTGTGCATATTTAAAAAAAAAAAATACAAAATTTAAAAACTTATGAAGTATAAAAATTCCTTAATTTTTTTGTTTCCTTCTTTTTTTCAAGAGGTCTTATCCTTTGTTTTGTTATAATTCTATAAAAAAATATTTAAAAAAATTCTCTTAAGCAATCTCTATCTGCTTAACACATTTTGTTTTTTTTTTAATAACATTTTTATCTCTAAATTTCAGCAAGTATTTTAAAGTACTTGTACGTTTAAAGGGTTAATAAACATTTTGAAAAAGAAAAGAGTTCAACGCCAAAATAATATTATCCATGTATATATGTATGTATAAGTATAGAAATGGATGAGGGTTTGTCTGTATGTTTGAAGATAGCTAAATGGCAGAACCGATTTTCTTTAAATTTTCTCTGTGTTATCCTGTATGTCTGTTAAAAGCTATAGTCCACGCCCATATATACTACATTACCTAGCTAAAAGTGGGCGAACTAGCAATAGTGGGTATGGCACCTCCCTTATCTTGAAAACTGTAACAGCTAGAGTAGCCAATATTTGTAGAAGTAACATCATTTTAAATATAAGTATTTTAGACAGAAATAGACGATCTAGCAAAAGTGGGCGTGGCACCTGTCATATGGAGTAAATATTAAAATCAGATTAACTACGAAACCAGAACAGTTAAACTGCTCAAATGTTGTATGAATATCTTTAGGTTCAATATGAATATTTTTCATAAAAATGGGCGATCCATTATTAGGGGGCATGGAACTTTTCATAAGAAGCAGCACCTCCCATACAAATTAAATATAAAATTTCATGTCTGGGGAATCATTATAGAATACTAAAATTTTGCTACTAAATTTTTTTAAAATTCATAATTGGGGCAAATTTCAAGTAAGCGATGTGCCACGCCCCTATATACTACATAACCTATTATTGCAAACTAATAACAAAATGGGTATTTTGGAAAAACTATAATACCAAAACACTTCAAGTAACATTAGTTTCAATATAAACCTTTTGTATAAAAATCTACAAACTAGCAATAGTGGGTGTGGCACCTCCCATATAAAGTAAATACTAAATTCCGCATATATAACGGCTGAAGTCCCCAATTGTTGTACAAGTATCTTCAGTTTAAATAGACGATCTAGCAAAAGTG